AACTGATTTATTTAATTTATTCAAATATGGGAGGAAGGCACATGTATGAAAAACAACCTATACATGTAATACATTACTCTTTCTTTAAATTCTGTGAAGACTAAAATCAGGCAACATTACACTCCTGCTGCCTCTAAACAGCATGGAATTCATCCCTGTTGAGAATGCCCAGTACATCCACAGTCTCTTATTGTCTGGGATTAAGTATCTTAGTTTTCCAGAGTTCTTCCAGCCTGAAGGCTATAGGGAGACCAACCGTGCATCTTCAGCTTTTGAAGCTTGATTCTCTAATCTTTAGGTTATTGTTGCCCCACTGAGAAAATCACCAACCTGGAGCCTGTTTTCTAAGCCTGCTGTGCTTTCTCTACTGGGGCTTTCCATTAGAGTTGTAATCTACCTCTAGAGTGGTTCTCTTGTTTTTGTCACTTTATATTCATTTCTAAGGCTTATTGCTAAGGTTCGATTGCACCACACTACCCAAAGATGACCTGTCATTCAAACAGTGTCTTTCTTTTCATTTTTGAGGGGAGAGGTTTGAGTTTCTCTGATCTTTATGCAGTATGGGCACTGTTTTTAATGTCTTTATTGTATTATTATTGCAGTGAGTTTGTCTTACATATCCTTACACATAAGACTAAACTGTAGCATTAAAAAGTAATAACATGAAAATGTAATTTATTAGGATAAAGAGTGAATCCTTGAACTTGGATGGACTTAGTAGAAACACATTACAGCTCGGCAGTACAAGGGTAAAAGTCACATGAATCATTGTAAATAATGTGGTAATAACATGATTTTATTTTTTCCTATTAGGATCATGATAGGGCAAGAGGGGGTAATAATTTAAAGCTCTATCATTATCCTGCTATTACCAAGATATTTCCATTGGGTAATAATAATCTTATTAAAAATCCTAGCTCTAAATTGCTCTTCCCTGGTTATAATGTTATATGCTGTTTTCCAAAGCAAATGTGGTGAATTATACGTTTCAGGTGCAATATGCAATGTGAAGTGATAGTTACTGGCCCTATGAATACAAAAGCAGATGATGCATTATACATATATGTGTACATATATATATATATATATATATACAAATGCATGTCTGCTTGAGTTAGATTTTTTAAACACTTGAATGAAAATGTATTCTCATATTAGTTTATACTGTGAGGGAAATGAGAGGGTCTGCACGAAAATAAGTGAAACAACTGGAGATGGGTATGTTTTGAAATCATTCAGTCTGAGCTGTCACACATTATGGGTACCGGGAAGCATCCGCACTGTCACTCCATCAACTTCTCCATTGACAGAGACTGAAAACTCCAGCTCAAAATTCACCTCACGTTTTATCTAAATGCAGCTTGCTCAGAAAGATGGACAAACACAAACACTCTGACTTTGAAAAATGCTGCTCCAATTTCTCTCTGCACTGGTCATGTACAATATTTTATCATCTTTGGAAGTCAAATATTAAGATTTACTTAAAGGACCAGTGTGTAGAATTCAGTGGCATTTAGTGGTGAAAATACAGATTGCACAAAGCAGATACTATGGTGGCCACTAGTTTGCAAAAAATGCGAAAGGCCCTTTCTAGAGCCAGTGTTTGGTTTGTCCATTACGGGTTACAGTAGAAACATGGCGGTTAAACATGGCTGACTCTGTAGAAGAGGACCTGCTCCCTCTGTAAAACCGGAACACAGTGAATATTATATTCCATTTCTGCCAATAGAGCCTACTTAATGTTACACACTGGACCTTAAAAAAACGGCTTAAATCATAATTTTGGTACATTTTTGACTTGGTCAGTGAAAAAGTTGCTGGGAATCCAACCGTAGTTATTAGAGGTAAATGCTCAACTACATATCACCCTTATCAAATCTACTCCAACCAGTCCTTTAATATTTGTGCTCTTTCTAAAAATTACTGTCACCCTAATTTCCACCAAATACCCCCCTTTGGAAACAGAGCCGAAGAGTAGGAAGCACCGCGGTGAGTCTGCAGTAAAAGAGAAGGTGTTTCTAAGAATACAAAACCTCAGTGGCTTCAGTCGGGTATTTCGCCGCAGTTTTTTTTTTACCATCCTAGCGGAGTATGGGGTGTTATCACTTTTCCTGCCAAGCGTTCCTGAGATCTACAGCTACACGGTAACTGAGTTAACAGATAATCACATAACAGCAAACCCCCCTCGTCCACACACACACACACATACACACCCTTCATCGCTGTCCCATTCGAGATAAATGAGCACTATCAGCCCCCTACCTCCCTACTAACAGATTAATGTGTAAGTGTATCCCTGGTTTCCTGCCTCCTACACACACTTCTCACTTCCTCTGTGAAACGCACACACACACACACACACACACACACACGCATTCACACACTGCTCAGCTGCCTTATGTCAGCTCGACAGCCAATCTCCCTCCTCCAGAAACACAGCAGATGATGCAGGCGAAAGACACAACGCACCTACACACATTAGTGTAGACATGTGGACATGTAAAAAGACACACACACACACACACACACATACACACACACACTTGTGTGCACACAGTTTGACACACAGTGTTAAAAGCAGCAGACAAGCTATGATTGAGTCAGACATCTGTGGGATACATTTTTAAAACGTTGCACACACACGCACACACACACAGTGATGTGAGTGATGATGTATATTCCAGTTATGCTAACAGATTTTAGCTTCCTACGTGAGTTGTGCAGCTATAACCTGCTGTGCTTACCACCGGCAGCCGCAGCAACAGCCGCAGACATTCAGGACTTAGTCATGTTCCCCGTAACTGCCAGAACAAATAGCCACCCAATTAACGCCCACACACAGCTTCCTATTAGAGAGCTGGGTCACCATGAGCTGCCTGGTAACCTTTAATCACACAGCGAACATTGGCTAAAAGTCACAACAGGGACAAATGGATGTTCCAGCTGAATGTGTTTGTCTCCATTAATCTTCTTTTTTCTGTGCTTCTGTAGCTTCACAAAAATATATAAAACAAACGGAAATCCCTCAGCGGATGTAAAAAGGTAGTTTACACATTGTCAGAGGCATCCAGAATAAACAATGTCAGAGGTAGCTCTGAACAAACATATGGGCGTTCTAGAGAAAACATGAAAACAATAATAGCACCTAAAAATGTGGTAAATTAACCCTTTTAAAGAATAAGGATCGTATAATTTAAATTGCCATCAAAAAATTATGAAAAGACCATAACCAACAATGTGTCTCTTAATATTTGCTGACTTCCCTACCCTGTGGTCTGTGGTCCACCGGCTCCTACTGAACATCAAAATCTTAAATACTCTTTAAAAGAAATTCTTATCTAACATCTAAAACTGCTTGTCACTGTAGTTTTTTATCAAACATTAGTCAAACAAGTGGAAATAGTGCATTTATGGGGACTATTTTCAGCGGCAGATTAATGCACATTTGGTGCCCTAGAGGGTATTTTGGGACAGCAGGACTTTGTATGTGGGATTGAGTCAAAACAAACTGCAGTGTGGGTGTTTATGGTGAAAAAGGAACAGGCCACCCAGTGCAACAGTGTGGCTCATTGATCTGTTTTTAATCGTTGAAACGATGGAGCTCTGTGGCCCAGAGGAAGAAGATGTATCACAATTTGGATACACACAAAATGCTTGTTAGTAGGATCAATTAATTGTTGGTTTTGGTCTTTTCCTGGCATTTTTTGACAATAAAGAAGTTTCAGAATCTCGCCAATCCTTCCTTTAATTGTACTTGGGTCAGTCAGTACAAACTCAAGTTGGATGGGGGAAAAAAATGTAAACTTGACACAACTGCACTCATGAGCCCAAACTTTATAAACATTTAAAATAGGTTGAATTTGAGAGGAAATATGTATAAATTCCAGCATCCCACTGAATACTTCTATCCAAATATTTAATTTCCTGAAGACATACAACAACTAAGACATAAGACAGCTAGATGAACTAAGTCTTACAGGCAGATGCAGAATATATATCTGATTTTGCCATACAATGTAGAAAAATGTTAATTTGAGACATGCATTCAGAGAAAAGGTTCAAGAAACTAAAAATGATATTAAATCACATAAAACGAACATCCTTAATCAGACCAAGACAGGAAATATTCTGATGTAATCCATTGAAAAACTGCTCTATGCTGATATCATTTTTGACATATCACCAGACAGTATGCCAAAAATGATAAAAAGAAAAAAACATAAAGGAGTTAAAAGTGGAATGAAAGATCAAAGTACTTGTACCTTGTTTGCTGAGAGCATCATGGAACAAATAGGTGAGTATGTGTGTGTGTGTGTGTGTATCACGGTAGTCTGGCTTCATTGGACCTCTTCAAGCGTTCCACAAGTGCCTGGAAGTTTTTATCTCGTGAAATGTGTAAGAAGGCGGCTGCTGTCAAAGCGACGAGCTCCTTATCTTCCTGCTGAGCGAGGAACGGGGACAGCGCTCTGCTAAGAGGATTTCTATTTTGGTGTTTAATTTAATTTCTTAGCGGACAGACGGATAGTAATTTGGAGGTTTTTCTGTGAAAACGTGTTTGGTTCCATAATCTAAATTTGTTTTAATACAGATAGGGGATTAATTACGAGCTCAAGGAGCTGCTGTGTTACTGTTTGACTGCGTCTTTGTGTCTGTGTGTGTGTGTGTGTGTGTGTGTGCCTACCTGTAATACTGAGAGCTGATCCGTAGTGTTGTGTGTATTTTGATGTGTTTGTTCATGCCTGCAGGCCACTGGAGTTTGGGTTTGTATGTGTACTGATTCATACATCACACTGTTGAGTGTGTGCATAATAAACATAATCCGCTAGAGGTCGGATTGAACACACAACACAGCTGTCTTTCTCAGGTTATACAGATATAGTTCCCTACACACTGACCCAAACCAAAGAAATGAGCAAAAGGAGAAGTGTGGGTGTAGTATTACATTTATTTTTTCTGTGTGTAGTGTCATGTGAGTTTCTTGTTTGTGCGTGTGTGTGTACCTGTAGTGTCGTGTGTCTCTCAGGGCTCGGTTGCTGGGGATGCGTTCACTCTCCCTCTGGTTGAAGGCGTACAGGGTGTAGGGGTCGTCACCGGGCTTCCAGCGCCGAGCGCTCAAGTAGCTCCGCTCGTCAAAACCCTCCAACATGTCCTCCCACTCTGCATCCGAGATCTGTCAATCAATCAGTCAAGATAATCAGTGAGTCAATCCAGGCTACAAACACTTATATTACATATTTAGTCTAAACAATGTCTGAGAACAGAGAAAAATAGCTATGAAGTTTTTTAATTAGTTTTTCTGTCCAAACATCATCCAAAACCCAAAGGGATTTAATTTACAGGATGCAAAATAGAGTAAAGAAACTATACAGATCTATTTGTATCGGCACCAGGACTTCTGATTGCAGTTCATTGTTTTCTGTGTAAACCAACACACAGGTGATGCGTATTGATGCACAACATTGCAGGATCACACACATCATTTCATTTAATTCCCAGCATTGATTCACATTTTACATGTCTGCACATCCAGGTGACTGCACCTTCAGTCTGTATGGTGTGTCACACTTAACTGTCTTTTAAAGGAAAAAAGAAAAATTACTAAATCAATCAGTGTGAGAATACTCTGTCGGTAAGTGATTATTTTTTCAGTTATTTTGTACTCGATGATCAGTGTTTTATCAGTTTTCCCAAAAAACGTATTCATTTCTATAAATAAATCCATACAGGCATCATCAGAAGGCACACATACATACACTCTTTGCAGGAGCTGCATAACAATTATCTGCACAGTTAGTCAATAAATCCATGAAATTATCTAGCTGTTGTGCATCCAATTTATCAGTCTGTCAACCACCTAATCAATCACTTAACTGCAGTGATGTATCAATTATTCAGTAACTAAAGACCCTTTACTGCACATCGGTGTTATTCACAAGAGTTAACCCATGTTAAAACCAAATGAAATGTCTCAGAGCAGCGAGTGCGTCTCTTGGCCTGAGGGTTTTGTTGACTGACATTTTCTCTGCCTCCGTCACCAGACTGGATGACAACTGAATGTGAGAGTTAGTCATAAATGTCACATTGTGAGTCTTGTATTGTAACCTATGATTATCCACCAAAGACATGTTGAGTGTGTGTGTGTGTGTGTATGTGTGTTCTACTGTCCACAATGAGGGCCTTTTTAAAAGCATCAAGAGAGCTTTTAGAGGTAATTTCACTTAAAGAAGATTCAAGGGGGGTGGGGGTTAACTCTCTGCTCTTTGGTATTTAAGAAGATGAATGTTGAACTTCCGTTTTCCATCCTCTTTGTTCTTTCCTTGTTTTGCGACTAAATGCTGCACTTTGTCTCTCAGCAGCTTACGATTTACTACAGCGTTGCACTTCTGCTCATACTGTAAAGGTTTTTGTTGGAGGTTGCTAAAGTTCACCAGTCAAGTCAAGATTGTTTTCACCCCTGTAGTTTTGTCAAGTTGCTTTTTAATTTTGGTCTGTTTCCGAATCATTCTCATGTATCACGCTTAGAAAATCACTGCCTTAACACTTCCCACAATCAGCAGATGGAGTAGTTTAGCAAATACACCAGTCTAAACAAACCCAACCAAATGGGCAAGAGTCTGTTTGAACTATATCAAACTGGGCAGGTTTGAAACTTTACCTAACATAAGGTTTTAGATTCATGCTTTTACCTTCAAGACAGCCACGGGTTTTAGCTCATTTCGGTAATATATGAAAATCACACGCAGAGGCTTAAAAACTTGCTTGAGAAGCAGAAGGTAATCCATCTTACCTTTAGTTTTTTGTCACTTATCACTTAGAGGTAATGAATGTTCAGTTCATTTTGACATCTTAGAATTAATGGCTGGCTGCTGAACTGCACTGCATTCATTGTTTTTGCTGTTGGAAAATCAACCCCAGAATAATGAGAACACAGGGAGGTTGTGAGAAGAATACTGAGAATTTCTTGAAGACTTTTTTTTACTTTTCAACCGCTCATTCTCAGATGTCTGGGTGTCCTTGAACACATCAGTGGGGTGGAGACTCTTCAACTGAAGTACCACACAACAAAGACTTAACTTAATAATAAAATAAAGGGAACTGAATGTTCAGTGAGATTAATATTTTAGTTTGAGGTTTCTGCAAGTTGATTTTCTTGATACAGTGAATAAATACTAATACTACTATTACAGCAACTACTAATACTAATACTACTACTACTACTACTAATACTACTACTACTACTACTACTAATAATAATAATAATAATAATCAATATGACTGTAAATCAACCATAAAAAAACAGTTTTGAAAAAAGCCACAAATCATGTAAATAATGAAATACAGTGACACCTGTCTGATGCTAAGGGTCCTGAATAGCAAGTCTTCTCCACTACTTACTACTTTTATTAAACATACAAATTCTAACAAGATCTGTAGCTTCTTCAGCCAATCATGCTTTCTCAATTGTGGAACACCCAACTGAAATAAGAGGCCGTGCCACCCACCATACCTTCCCACACAGTCTCAAGGCCCAACTTCTGCAAAGTCAGACGTGAACATTTTTCATCTACAATTGCCAATTTTATTATTGTTGTTGTTATTATAGGCTGACCTGCTGCTAATTTGTCCCATGTTCCTTTGCTTTGCATGGCCTGGCATATTCACTAATACTTTATTAATAATGTGGTATGGTCGTCTTATGTGTTAGGTGTATGATATTACCATTTTACTAACTTTTAATACTGTATCAAGATCAACATTATGATCACATTTTATTCATGTCTTATTTCTTATTGCATGTCTGCATGCGTCAAAAACATGATTAAAATCTGCATTTCTTGGCTGTGTTTTGTTGCTTTGTGTTGATTGTATTATATGGCTACATATAGTGAATAGTGGATATTGTTACTGTATTACTGTATTAAAGTTTAGCTGTTTCCTGTTGCTCTGCATTTTCTTGGTTCTGAAAAGGCTTATTATATTGCTGTGGCTGTCTTTGTTGGCATTTTGTTTTCTTGCTGTCTGTTTAACGTTCACCTCATAAAAACATTTCCCCAAAAAGACTGCAGTTGAAAACGAGCCAGCTGGCACATTCACAGAAATGTCGATTAATGTGTGTTATCATTATAAATAAATAAATTAAATGAACTTAAATAAAACATATGCAGTTTGTAGTTAATGGGCTAAAGCATACAACAGCAGCTATATGGCCCGTTAATATGCTAATCAGAGACCAAGTTCTCAGTGTGAGGCACAGTAAGAGTCAGTCCTCCTTCATGTTATTCTGCACAGAAGAAACAACCAACTCTGCAGAAACTGCCGACTTCTCCAGAAAATACAAAAGTTATAAAATGAGATGTAAAGTGTTAATGTAGCATATAAATCCTGCTCAGCTTCTAACAGCTGGTGGAGAAAAACACAAAGTGGCAGCGACTTTAGAACAAAAAATAGCTACAGCTGCACTTTCTGTCTGTCTGAGCTCTGCTGTGAGTGTGTGTGTAGTTTTAAAGAGAGCGTAGATCATTCATGAGACAGTACAGATGCCTGTTTGCATGCAGGAAGGAGTGTATAGTGTGTGTGTGTGTGTGTGTGTGTGTGTGTGTTGTCTGAACGACTGAGAGAGTAAATGTGTTTGTGGATCATTTATGAGTGTGTGTGCTTGTAGGTATCTTTGGAGAGGCTGAGGAGTGTGTTTCAGTTGACAGAGAGGGAGTGTGGGTTTCTGTGTGTGTTTGTGTAATGCATAAGAGAGAGAGAGAGAGAGAGAAAGAGAGAGAGAGGATGCTGCTTTGAGGGCGAGAGATAAAAAGAATGTACATTATCATTCTCTCTCTCTCTCTCTTTTGCCCTATCATAAACGTAACACAGGAGCTTCAGCAAAAACCCCAGAGGCCATATTTCTCCCCAACGACCACACACACTGGCACATAGTGGAGATGAATAGACACACACACACACACACACACACACAGGGTCACAGTGCTGATGGTGTGTGTAACAGAACAACGTTAACGGTGGAGCAGCAGTCTGGATGGAGGGATGCGGAAAACAACTGACACTCCTCATCTTCTTCTTCTCTTGTCCTCCTCCTCCTCCTCCTTCTTCTTCTCTCCTCATTATTCAGCCATACGACTTGCTGATGCGACACATTGTCTAAATGGGGCCATTAGAGGGCTGGGAGTCAGACTCTTTCTGTGTGTGTGTGTGTTAGTCTGTGTTGCTAGTTCTTCCCCTGGTGGCTGTAACAACAAAGCATGAAGAACAAGAGGGAGGGGGAGAGAGAGAGAGAAAAGGGGGAGGATGGAGGGATGGATGGATGGAAAGAGAGGGAGGTAGAGAACAGAGGGAAAGAGGACAAAAGAAGTGGGAGGGAAAGTGGGAGGCAAGGAATATAGGAGAAGATAAAGGGTAAGGAGGGATGGAGAAAAAAGGGAAAAAATAAAGACAGAAAGAAGGACAGAGGAGGGGATAGAGAATAGGGTAGGAGAGATAGATTGAGTGAGAAAAAGACAGGGAGAGAAGAAAGAGACAAAATGGGAAATAAAAAGGTGAAAATAGAAAAAAAAATGTGGATGAGAGAGAGGGAAGACGATAGCAAGGGAACAAAAGGATGGAAGCAGACAGGAAGAGAGAGAAGAAAGAAAGAAAGAAAAGAGGAAGA